TAGTAATACTAGGTCGAGGTACGCTATAGTAGCTATTATTAATCACTAATATAGAAAGAATTCTTTATTAGTTTCCGGGACTAGTTAAATTATAAATAAAGAATATGGTATTATAGAGCGAAAAATTAGTTCTTAAATAACAATTTAAAATTCGTTAATAATAGCTTTTTAATAAGGCTATAAGGGAAAGGAGTTTAGTAAGTCCCTTAGGCTCTTTAAGTATTCTGTAATAAAATTATTGTAATAAGGGCTATTATAATAGCATTATTAATTTATGATAAGGCTAGGCTATTATTAGCTATAGCTTTGAGTTATAATAAGAGGTTTTATAGTAATCCTATGACTATAAAATATCATTTATTAAAAGCTTATAGTACTATCAAAGTGTAATAAAAGTTCGCAATATCATATTACATTAAGTTACTATTATACCCCTTTTCGTTAGCGTAGTATTATAGCTTATCATATTATATCTATAAACTGATTACTGATAAGATCTTAATATTTAGGCTCGCTAATATCATAATAAATAAATCATAAGAGGTCCTAACAACATCTGTATAAAGGGTTCTTTATAGCTTTTTATAACTTATTTAAGTAAAAGACCGGGTAGGTTTTATTTTTTATAAATAGTTTTAGAATATATATATTACTTAAGGTAGTATTAGCAATAAACTGGAAGCTAACTTAGGGTTATTATAATATATTAGTATTTGAAGCTTTTTAACAGAATGTATTTATAAATACTTTATTATTAATTTCAAGTCGTTAGGCTATTAATAATAATCAATATATTTTTAATACTTTATTCAAATAACTTCTATATTATTTTTAATGATTTCTGAAGCCTCGTAAATATTTTAAGCTACTTATCAAGCCTTATTATTGTTAAACATCTTTTTGATTAAATTCAAGCGCTAGGTTTTAGTAATTTGATTAAGAAATGGCGGAGGTTAATAACCATATTTAACCTTATAAAGTAATAATTTCGTAATTTAATTTAGTTAAGTCATATAAATAAAGTCTATCATAAGTAGTATATTATTCTAGATATTTTGATAATAATTGACTAAGGTCTTAAATCATTAAAAAATATACTACTTTTAGATCTTAGTCTGATTATTTATTTATGAGTGATTCATTATTTATATTCATAATTGGATATTATAAAGCTTGTATAATTCTTTTTGAAAATTGAATATAAATTAAAGACCGTAGTTAGAAATAATAGTCTTAGATAGCTTAAAAATTAATAATACTTGTTCGTAGAATATTTGATTCATATCCCGTATTATAACAGTTTCATAATAGTTTCATAATAGGGTATTAAAATAGCTTTTTTATTTAGTTTATTAATTACTATATATATATTATATTATAGGTTTTTCACTTGAAAAGTATTACTATAAAGTTTATTAAATTGTATTATTATGAATAATTGAGTATAAATAGAGGTCTTAGTTTCCTCAGGGGCCTGTTATAAGGTTTTTGAAAATAGTAATACATATAATGATTCTTAATATATCAATATATATTTATTATAAAGCTAGGTTAATAATATTATTATTTAATCATTCTAATTATTTTACTGTACGCTAGGTATACAAGAAGCTTTTTTTTTATAAACTTTATAAATTTTTATAATATATAAATTATTCTTTTCAAGTGTAACGAGCTTATTATTTTTGATAAATAATCCGTTACCTCAGATTCTTTAGTACTTATAGCCTTTAATTGTTAATACTCATATTAAAGTTAATAATATTATTATTAAATTATAGTTAAACTTTAGTACTTTATTAATTAATATGTACCCCTAACGCTTATGTCTTAATATAAAGATCCTGATAGTAAACTCTAATCCTTAAGCTATGGTTTTTAATGATATATATAGCTTAGTAATTATATTTAATAATAATAATAGTAAGACCTAGGTCTAGTTAGTTTTTTTTGAAACTTATTAGGTCCTAATATGCTCTATTTTCTTTGATAATATATTAATAAATATATTTTATTTTATTTTAAATAATATCAAGTTCAAAATCAGAATTAATTAGAGTATCAGCCTATTGGGCTTATTATAAATTTAGAAAGCGTTCTATTATAGAAAAAAAGAGTTAATTAGTAATCTATAATTATATTAACTTTCCATTAGTAGCTAATTAGTTTAACATATTATTCTTTTGAATAAATGACTATTATTAGTATTTTTTTATTATATATAATACAGTTGAGTTTTATATTATTTTTAATCTTTAAATAGAACGTTCTTGAACATGATGAACAATTATTTATTTATTTAGGTACTAGTATATACTAAATCTAATATATTAATCTCTAAATATACAAATAGCTTAGGCTTAAAATCATAGTGTATAAGTACTATTATAAGGGCTAGTTTGTTACTTCAAACGTATTATTATAATTTATGTTAAATTAGAAAGGTACTTCCTTACTAGTTAGTTTTGTTAATAGCCCAGTTGAGTATTTATAATTTTTTTATAAATCGTTTATAAAAATTATAAAACTTCAAAAATAACTAGATTCTTTCTAATAATATAAGTACTTTTCAATTATGTAGTATAAACCTTTATTTTTGTTAGGCTGTATATTATCAATATTAACTATAAATCCGGACTATATCATAATTATAATATTAAGTTTATACTTTTTAATATCAGCCTATAGTCTAGTTTTTTATAAATAGTTTAGTACTTTTACAATATATTCGTAGTATCATAAGAGGTTGTTTAAAAAATTGAGATAATATATATAAATAGTAGAAAAATCATTTAAGTACTGTACTAATATATTATCTATATACCGTTAGTATATAACTAGCTTATTATAAAGGCCGAAGGGTAGTATCTTATGTTTAAATACTTTATAATAAGTATAGACTATTGTAAGGTCGATCTTTTGCGCCTGTAAAGCCGGAAAAAAACCACCACATACCCTGAGTATATACTTAATATAGTATAGTAATTTTAATATAAAAACCGCTATTTAATTTGGGATAAGTAAGCTGCCCTCTTAAGCTAGGTACTTACTAATAATAGGCTAAGTAATATACTTACGTAGTAGTGCCGGCCGGAAAGGTCGACGGTAGAGGTTAGCTATAATAATTAGTTATAATAGTCGGCCGTAAAGGTTGGAAGCGGCCTTCCTTAACTGCAGAGTTTCTAAACTTTAATAGCGACGGAGAGGTTTCTAGAGAAAGGGCTAAGAGGGCTAATATCTACTACTCGTACTATAATATAACTTTATAAACTAAGGAGTTTAAAAAAAGTATTTATAGTATTTCATATAGGAAAGATTATTTTTCATTCAATATCAAAAACCCTTTTTATAAAGAGTTATTTCAAGTAAAACACTTCAATAATAAGTATTTTTAGTCTTTTTTATTCAAAAAAGAAAGTTAACTTAATTTAGAAAAATATAATAACCGATTTATTAAAAACATTCATTTTAATGATTAGTACTTAAATTAGATAGTTATATATTTCAATAAACTTAATAAAATAATATTTAGGTTAAATTCATATATCCTTGTATAGTACTAAAATAATTGCTATATAAGATAGAACGAATATATATATATAATTAATATATAATTTATTATATTTTTAAAAATACAAACTTAAAAAGAACTAAAAGAATAAAACAAATCAGAGGGATAGTTAAAGAATAGAATATTAAGAAATTAAAAAAGCTAATTATAAAAGAATAATACAAAGTAAAAATGAAAAATAAGTTTTTATGTATAATTAGATAATTAAATAATATATATTGATTAATCTGACTTAATATATACGGATAAAGATTATACGTTATAGTAAACAGTAGTATATAAAGAAGTTTTATATTACTAAAAATAATAAATAAACTTAATTTATTATAAATATTAAAAAATACCTTATGCTAGTTATGAATAATAAAAGGGAAAAAAAGGTAATCATAATAAGAAATATATTATTTAAAGGATTATACATTTTTTCATAAATAGTAATCATTAATAAATATAATTATAATATAATATTATAAAAACGAAAACATTAATATTATCTCAAGAGTTTAATAATCACGAACAAATAACTTATGAGTAAATTATATAACTAGTTAGGTTTTATAAAATAATTCAGTTACTAAACGACTTGAAAGAAAAAGGGATTAAACAGATTTACAATAATATTGAGAAAAATAAGAATAAATATAATATATAGTTTCTTTTGAAATGATCAAAAGTAAAAGCATATCTATACTTAATATTAATAATTAAAATATTACAATAACTTTAATTTATATTTAAAAAGTACGAAATATTTATAAAGTTATTTATAAAACTCAAAGAATAGGATTATTGAAAATATAATAATAAGGATATAAAAATCGAATATTGTTATTAATCCGTAGTTGTGAGCTTTGTAAGAGGGAAAGTTGAAAAAAAGGTAGAAGAAAATTATAAAAAATAGAAATATAAAATAGCAGGGGTATTTATTAATACTATATATTAATACTATGTAAGCGATATTGAGAACTGCCCGAGCAGCTAGTAGAAATAGAAGTATAAAATAAATAAAAATCGAATTTAGAAAAGAAAACTTAACTTAAGTTTTTCTTTATATACCCTATGAATTTAAGAAAAAAAAACTATTTTAAGAAAATATATCAATAAAAAGCTTAAAAAAGAATATATTTTACCTTCAAATCCCATAGAGAGCTACCCTTATTTTTTATATTAAAGAAAAAATTAAACCTTATTATTGATTATAAAAAACTGAATAAAATATTAAAAGGAATTATCATTTTTTATTTTTTGTTATTAAGCTTAGAGATGTGTTATAAAGAGCTAACTAGTTTACTATTATAAACCTTAAAAAAGTAGCTAATTAGATTTAAATCAAAGAATAAATAAATAGACATAGTACTTGAAATAGTAATTAACTACGTATTTTAGGATTGTATTAATATTAGTATTATGATACATATTAATTATGATTTTAAAATACATAAAGAATATAATTATATAATATTTTAAAACCGTCAATCCGTGGTTGTAGACTTTGCAGGAGGGAAAGTTCAAATAAAAAAAAAACGTGGAAGAGAATCATAAGAAATAGTCTAACGAGACAGTGGGAGTATCCACTGATACTGTGTATTATTACCGTGTAACCGATATCGAGAATCGCCCGAGCAGCCAGCAAAGGTAGAATAGTAAAACAAATAATAAACAGTTAATAATTATTATTAAATATTTTTAGAATAAAGACTATCGTTATTTAGACCTAAGTATAAAGTTATAACTTTTATAAATTATGAATATTTTATCCCTTTAAGGTCCGGCTCGCTTTATCAGGAGCTGATTTCGCCCTTATAAATAAGCTAATTCAATTAGGGTTAATATTAAAGTTCTATTATATAATAAACTTTATAATTAATAATAGCTAGCTATAGTTATTAATATTAACCGAACTTAAGATACTAATTACCTCATTATAATATATTAATTATTTTTTGAATAATCAAAAACTACTTTTAATTTTTTCCCTTTTTAATAACTTTAAATTTTAATTATATAATATACGTAATATACCCTAAATATGTACTTAACATAATATAAAACTTTTAATATAAACCCGTTATTTAATTTAAAATAAGTAAGCTACCCTTTATATAGTAGTACTAGCTAAGAAGGTTAATAATAAAAGTCGGTTATAAAAGTTAGAAGTAGCTTAATAAAAAAATTATTTACCCTTAACTATAACTAGAGGTTCTAAATTTTAATAATAACGTAGAGGTTTTCAGAGAAAGGGCTAAAAAGGCTAATATTTATAAAGCTTATAAAGATTCTTCTTATCCTTATTATTTCTAATATTATTTATTAACTACTCTCCATTCAAACTAAATCAATTTACTAAATAAACTTGTCAAATAAACCTATCAAATAAACCTATCAATATATAAACTATTATTTAAGTAACTAGTTAAATAACTAGTTAAGAAGTTAGTCAATTAAAAGATTACCTTAATAAGAACCTCTCAATATATAGTTAATAAATAGCGGGCTAGAACTAAACATACTTATTAATAAGTCTACCCCTCTCGAGCTAGGCACCCTCTTTAACTAGCTCAACGCCCTAGTTATTGTAGCTAATATAATAAATATACTTAAAGAGTAATATAATATTTTTGATAATGTAAAATTTGATTAAATAATAATACGAGTATTATTGATGACTAAGTTAATATAGATATTAAATTCAATATATTAATACTAGTTTAGAAATTATATTTTATAAAACTAGAAATCTTTTCGATATAAGATATATTATAGATATGAAGGACTATATAAGGGGTTTCCTAACTTTCAATAAAAGAAAGGGTATAATATAGGATCTAGCCATTTATATAGGTTAGTATTAGGAGGTCTTACATATAGTAAAGTAAATAAAGCTCGCCCTATAAACGGCTAGAATTTAAAAAGACCATAGTAAAAGGTCGGGGGTTATTAATAAATAATAGTTAAGTCAGTTAATTATTATTTTAGTTAATAATTAGGTATAGAGCGTAATATACTTAGTTTTCTTTAATATATAATACATAGTATAGCCCCGGCGGATTACTTTATTGGGGGGAACCTTTCTAATATAATATAACTCTTTTTAAATACTATTTACTTTTAATTATAAAAATACTCTAACTTAAGAGTTTTGCTATCCGGGAGGTAATCTACTTTTCTTTGTTAAGTAAAGCTTAGCTTAAGTAATTACTAAAGAATATAAAAAACAGTATATTATATAATAAATAAAATCAAAAATTATTTGAAGTTTTATTATAATACCTAATAAATCTTAATAAATTAACATCTTATAATTAATTAACTTTTACCTAGCTTATTTAGATTAACTCGTTGAGCTTAAATAAGGGCAATACCCCTAAGCCTAATATAAAACAACTCTATTACTACGATCTTTATTTTAATACTAAGCTTATAATACTAATAATTAAGCCCTAAGTACTTTCCTAAGTAATTCTTTTAACTACTAAAACCCTTTTTTAAATTATAATTAATTATAATATATACTAACCCTAATAGACTTAAGTACTAAGTTCTTTACCCGCTTTAGTACCTATAATATACTACTTAATAATAGAGGTTTATTTATAATAAGTATACTACTTAATAATAATTTACTTATAATAAGTACGTTACTTAATAATTTTATTATAATAATTTTAGAATTATAAAGTTACTTACAAATACTTATGACTACTAAGAGGTCCTTGATTTAAAACAAAGTATTCTAAAAATCTTATATTTTGTTAGTTCATAATATAAATATTTTGATATGAGAAATATATTAACGGCTATACTAGTTATTAATAAAAATAAATATAATCCTTCGTTAAATCCTCCTTCGCCCTTATAAGCTCTAAAAAAGTATAAAAATAAAATAACTTAAATTAATAACTAAACTACTTATTATAAATACCAAGGTAAGGGAGTAAACTTAGTTTCTCTTTTTGAAATACGATAGTTAAAGTACTTTCATATGAATAAGAGAGTAATTTAAAAACTTTATATCTTATTTATTTTTTTATTATATTAAGCTACCCTTATCATAAATAATTCCGTTAATTTTCTATTTTTATGGAAACATAAAAGTTAACGTACGTTATCTTCTTATTAAATGGTATTCTCTTGAACACTTTAACTAGGCTAATGAGGTTTATATTACTAAATATTATATATAACTTCAAGTCTTTATAAGTAATCTCTATAGGATTATTAATATAAATACCGAAGTTTTCATAATTACTAACATAAAACTAAGCTTATTAATAATAATGAGGTAAATATATATTATAAAAGTAATTAAAACAAAGCTACTAATTTAAAAGCTCAGTCTATAAACGGTCCTATACCCTATTAAAATCCTTCTTAATATTAATATATACTACGTAAGCCTATAATTAACTAAGTCTATAAAAAAGTACTTCACCTCGGTCTTAGCTCACTATTAATCAATAATTACTTTATCAATATAACCTGGCTTATTAAAAATATAAATAAAAATGATATAAATTGTAAAAGCTAATATAAACTAAGTAAGAAATTGAAAAAGCTATATAGCTTTATTATTACTCTAGCTAATTTTAAACTCCATACATATTATTAAAGGTACTAAGCTTTTCTTACTTTTATTTAACATTAAAGTAAATGTTAATGTTAATATAAAACATATATCATTATAACTAGGTTAATAGTAAAACCATTATAATAATAGAGCGCAAAACTATTTCGAAATTTATAATAATTACCTAGGGAGGCTAAGTATTAACCTCGTAGTAGATCTAATTAAAGGATTAGATAAGGAAGTTATACCCTTCGTAATACTTCAATGATAATAATTCAAAACCTATTTAATATAAAAACCTAGAATAATAATATCTTATACTAATTAACTTTATAAATATTATTAAATCTAAGTACTTAAGAAAAAGAAACGCTTCTATATTATTTTATAAGAAAGATAAATCCAAAACAATTACTTCGAATATATTGAAATTAGTTTAACTTATATTATATAGTACTTTAAACCCTGCTGTTAGAGTTAATAAATAAAGGCCTATATTCATATATATTTACTAAGAGTATTAAAGTAAAAGCGCTAAGAAGTATTATAGATATCTTTTTAACTTACGAGTATACTAAGATAAATATCATAAATAATAGCCCTAAATTCTTATGAATCAATTAATTCTATTTTATATTTAAAAAGACTAATAATAAAACTACTTTACTCAATAGTCATTTGATAATAAGTTAAATAAATAAAAAGAGCTGAATACGGGTTATAAATATATTCGTCGTACTTAAATATTTAAGTCTATTTTTAACCTTTCTTCTTTATCATAAAAGCTATACTTTTTTAGCAATAACTCATTTTCAATATTGTTACTTAATATAATTCTACTCCTTCTATTTATTACACTTAATTATAATTATAATATAAATACTAAAAAGTATTCTTACTATTATTAGAAATATTACTACACCTATAAATAATTGTAAAGCCGAAAGTACGTATAAAAATATTAAAATAGTCTTATAATTACTAAATTAAATTAATAAGTACTTTATTAATCTTACTCTCCAAATAGTTAGAAATAGCCTTATAATCGGGCTTATTAATAAGTAAATCTATCGTAATAATATAAATTAAGTAGTTAAGTTAGGTTAGGCTAAGTAAATAAGTAAATATAATTTGAAAAAGAATTTACTAACTATAGGGTATAAAAAAGAATCTAATTAACGGGCCTACTGGGCGCTAAGTACTAATAAACTTATACCGGGATTAACCCGTTAAGCGCTTCTAATTAGTTAGAAAAGTAAACTACCTCCCGGATAGCTAAAAAGCACCTCCCGGATAGCAAAACTCTGATTTAGATAATAACTTATTTAATTTAGCCTAAGCGTTTTAATGAATATGAATCTTTTTTATAATTTTATAGCCCTTTTTAGAAAAACGTAACTCTTCTATTTATTTCTTACGATTTAATTAATTAAATTCTACTACTAAGTAATTAACTACATTACTAATTAAAAACAATTAAATACAGAATTAACGAGTATTTAGAAGTATAAATAGAAATAATAAAAGTATTATATAATATACTAAGTTAATAATATAATATTTATAAGCTTTAAAATTAAAAAAACCTAAATACTAAACGCTTTATAAATAACAATTTAAATAAGGTATTATTCTTATACTTTGATTATGAAATGAATAACATATAATAATTAATAATAAGATATAGTTATTTAAAATTCTAATTTTTTAATTTAACTTAATATTATATCAATAGATTCTCGATTAAATAAACTTAATGATTCCTTATTTCAAAAGTAAGGAACTTATTTATAAGCTAAAAGGATGAAATTCTTAAAGAAAAGGAGCTAATATTATGATTTAATATATAAAATAAGGCTGGGGCTTGCCCTATAAGACTTATGATAATAATAATAATATATATATAAGAGTACGAACTTAAAATAACTCCCTTTAAAATAGAAGAATTATAAATAAATTATTTAATTATGATTATATAATAGAATAAGAAACGGACGTTTTTTAAAAAAAACAATAGTTAATAAATATTTATATAACTATAAATAATAATATCCCCCGACGGAGCAATCCGCCGGGGCCGTATTATATATTACGTA